AGTGGCTATTTTCCTTCCTCCATAAGTAAGGTTAAAGGACACGTGTTTGCTGGTGAAATATTTACATTTATGAATATAAGAAGTCTACTTCCACAGAGGGATGTTGTTAGTGCCTATTTGTCTCTTGCTTGTCCTGTGTTTTTGTGTCTAACTGAGACTTGGCTTGATCATAGTATTTTAGATAAGGATATTAACTTTCTTCACTATCAGTCCCCAATGCGCTTATTAAAGATGTAGTAGTTCAACCAAAGTTAGATAGAAGTGATCACAGTTTTATAGAATTTAAAATGAACACGCTTGCTTGTAAAGGTAGAAGAGTGAGAACTATTTATGATTATGGTGCGGTAAATTGGGAACAAGTGATTGCAAGATTTTTAGATATTCCCGTAGAACGACTCTTGAAAAATTACAATAGTCTTAACGAGAAAGTGCAAGTTTTTGAAGAAATTTTACTTGAGCATATTAAAACCTACGTTCCAAGTAAGGAAATAATGATAGAATTACGAGATAAAGCCTGGTTTAACGATGAATTAAGAGTCCTTTACAAAAAGAAATTAAAATTGTATCGTAAAAGAAACAATTCAACATATCATCTACAGCTATATCATGAAAAAGCTGCCGCTGCTCAATCTGGATTTAGAGCAAGGGATAGTACAACCTACCTTTTGTTAGATGTTATTAATCAGCGAACGAATTCTCAAGCGGTAGAAGTGCCTTTCACCACCTATGAGACGGTGCAGTCCTCTTTTTTCTGGAGAACTCCTAAGGACTGGAATCCTCTATCGATGGAGCATATAGTCTCAAAACCGTCTCTCTCCGCTTTTAAAGACGCACTCAAACTCTTTCTTCTAATGTGAGACTAATGATGTTTTTTGTTTATCAATATTTGTACTGGTTTTCTTTTCTTGCTCTTTTGTTCTCCTTTTTACCATTTTGTTTGTATCATCTCTTCTTCCTCTATGGACATGTTGACAAAGTTATCTGCCTAGATTCTTAATCAAACGCAGTTTTTATTTTGTTACAAACTTTTGCGCTAGCAATGTTTCTTTTCGTGTATCCATGGCTATGCCAGAATAAACTGAACTGAACGGAACTGAATCAGATAAATACTGGCGTGAAAGAAGATAAGTTTGTCTCAAGTGCCTTACTGGATTTTAAAAAAGCATTTGATAATGTAAATCATGAATGTTTATTATTGAAGCTGTATAAAAAGGGAGTAAGGGGTCAAGCACTACTATGGATAGAAAATTATTTAAAAGATAGAACAGTACAGACTACTTTAGATGGTTGTACATCAAAAACATGTTCAGTTACTAAAGGAGTGCCCCAAGGCTCAATCTTGGGACCACTCTTATTTCTTGTCTATATAGATGACATAATAAATGATATAGAAAGTAATATCAGACTGTTTGCAGACGATGTGATATTATTTAATCACCAAAAGGTCCGTTAGAAAGCATTACAATATTAAACAGGGATTTGAAAAAAGTGCAGGAGTGGTCTGAAAGGTGGTTTATACCTCTTAATCAGTTAAAATGTGAATCTATCATATTCTCCACTCGTTACCATTACAAAAAAGTCGCTACTTTTCCTCCACTTGTGTTATATGGAATACCTATTGTACGTAAAAAAGAGGTTAGGTATTTAGGACTACTATTATCCTACGACTTAACGTGGACTAGCCATATCAATAAAATCTGTTCTAAAGCATCGCCAATAGTTGGTCTGATGAAATATTATAAAAATATATTATCTAGAAATGCATTAGAAATTATCTATAAAGCGTGCGTTTTGTCGATTTTGAATTATGGCTCTATAATTTATTCGTTAACAACATCGGTGAATTTGAATAAGGTTGAGCACATTCAGTATGAGGCTGCAATGGCCATCTGTGGAACAATGGAAGGTACATCAAAAGATCGATTATATGAAATCTTAGGTTGGATATCCACAAAAAAACATTTTTATATTTTGAGGTTATTGACATTTTTCAAAATAATTAAGGGTCGTGCACCCGCTTATCTAATCAATCATTTACAGTTTCATAGACC